GTGGGTACCAGAGGGTACCGTCATATGCATTGCATTGCACTCATGCATTTATTCTTTATCTGCGTTATCTGCCATAATAATTATGTGCTCTTATTTCATTGACTGGTTGCTTTATTATTTTGATACTGAGTCCGAGGGGTAGATTTCTACTTATTATTTTGATACTGAGCTCGAGGGGCAGATTTCTAGTTATTATTTTGATACTGAGCCCGAGGGGCAGATTTCTACTTGTTGTTTTGATATTGAGCCCGAGGGGCAGATTTCTACTCATCATTTTACTGCCAAATTACCTGTTTTACTGGTTTAAAAGAAATTTCACATGATGTTTCACTGAATTATTATTTTAAATGATTTCACTACTTCTGTATAAAATATTGTGTGCCTTAACGTGTTTTTTTACCTTCAGTCATTATTTATATTTATTACTCACTGGGTCGGAGTACTCACATTACTCCCTGCACCATGTGTGCAGGTACAAATATTCCTGAGGCATAGAGCGAGTTTTCTGCTGTTCAGTTTTCATCGGAGTACACAAATGTTACAAACAAACAATTGTCGTATAAAATTAGGACGACTTCTTTTATCTTTCAATCAAATACTATTTCAATTAACACTTTTTTACAATTAAGCTTAAGTATTGGAATGAATCGAAGTAATAATTGCTGTAAGATTAACCACATGATTAGCATTTATCATTTTCGAGTACTTGCATTGGACAAATTTTTATTAACTAAAAAAGATCCTCCTAAATTAGAAAGAAAAATTTAATAATACTCCTAAATATAGAGTTGGACGAAAACTTCCTATTGTGTAGAGAACGAAAATGTTTCCTAGTATGTGTGTCAATTATAAGTATTATAGGAATAGTAATTAAATAATTATTCCTAAATTGTAGGGAATTAATTAAATGACTTTTTAATATTAGGAAAATAATCAAATGACTATTTTGTCTAATGTGAACTCTATTTTAAAAAGGGTAAAAAAGGCAAACGACATTTCGCTAAGGGCCTTCGTGCTTTTAATATAGTATAGATAGATATAGATATAGATATGGACACAGAAAACTATCCCAAAATATATTTTAAATTTTTATTACTAAAAAAAATAAAAGAAATTATTCTTATTAGATTTAAATGATTCACCTCTCTACAAAGTTAAAGTTCTCGTCAATCGTCTCGACTTTCAACTTAGATTTCTATCCCTTCTTGTCAAATATAATGTTAAAAATTTAGAATTGTTTCGACGATTTTGAATACAATACTTTATAAGGTTGGAGGTAAATGTTCATTTTTATCTTGTTATGCCAAAAAATTATTATTATATGAATATTATTTTCTACATGTTTTGCAAACTTTTGTCACAATTGTATAGTTGAATACAAAGAAAATTACTTATAGCCCCATATTCTCTCGTACAAGTACTAAATAAGTCTACAATTTAAATCTTTTTTAAGATCTGTCTAAACCTCAATTTGGACATCAAACGTAAAGAGAGAATCAAGAAGGTTAAAAAAACAAAGAAAACCAAGTCAAATGCGAATATTCCAAAGAGTTTTGTACACAAGGATGCAACTTGGAGAAAGTTGAGTGGCGGATTTTATATTTTCAAGAAAGAAGTTGAAAACGAAAGGGAAAAGAAAATATTAAAAAAAAGAGGAAGTTGAAGGAAAAGATAACGGATAAAGTGAAGGTGGAATCTCGCATCGGAAAGCACTGCGAAAATAATTCAGTGCATAAATTGTTGTTCATCGACTTCAAAACCCTAGATTCATCATTCAATTCGCGGTGGTGAACTCAGAAAATGGATCAATTAAACAACGGCGCGATGTATCAATCGAATCACCTTTCAAATCATTGTTTAGCAGAGTTAAATCAGCTGCCTTCTGATATTGCCATGCCTTCTAATGGCTTCCATTCTGAATCCAGGTTTACAAAAAAAATTCTTCGTAATTCCAGCTCACTTTTCGTGTTATAGTTTGTCTAATGCTGTATCGGAGATTAAACAGTAAAAACATAGTTATGCGATTGCATTTAACTATGCCGCTTCAATTATCATCTGTTAGAAGTTCAAAATCTTATAAATTGACAAAATTCGAGAAATTTGAATAGAGAGCCAAATATAATTAATCACGATTCTAATCGACTGGGATCTGTATCTCATTTTAAATTATTTTCACATTTTTTTTGGTAGAGAAAGCTGATACGATAGTTATGCCACGCTTAAACGGGTGAAGGGCGAAATCCTTAAGCTTGCATAGTATCAAAAGGTGTGGTTGTGCTTCGTTCAGTGGGTAGTGGTATTCTCCAGTGCAAATTATGGTAGGACTTTGAGTTAAAATACTTGCTTTTGAGTTTGTTTTGGGGGTTATTTAAGAACATAGAAAAATCAAACAAAACGTGTGTGTATGTGGCCTAGAAAGGTTTTTTTAGAAGGTAAGTAGATTATGTATTGAAAATGCAACAACTTAGCACCTTAGCACCAGGTGCTAAGGCAGTATAAGAGTCCGTAATTCTTCCTCTAAGGAAAAAAAATAAATCCTAGGAAGTGTGTACTTAAACAAGAGTTATGACTCGGGTGTGGCCTAGTGGTCAATGAAGTGGAAGAATAACCATAAGGTCTCAGGTTCAAATCTCAGCAGAGACAAAATCATTAGGTAATTTCTTCGCATCCGCCTTAATATTGGTGGGCGGAGTTACTCGGTACTTGTGTTGGTGGGAGGTATCAGGTATTCACGTGCAACTATGTTGGGCCATTCTTAGCATACGAGTATTGACAGAACAGATGTGCACAAAAGGATGCTGTAATCAGACTAGCATAGTAGCATCTAGTTGGCTAATTTAACTAAAAAAAAGCTAATTGAAATTTGACAAGCATCTTTGGCTATATGTGGAACTGGAGATTTTCTTATACCTTGGTCATATTACAGAGAAATAAATATGTCTTTTGAATATGACTTCATTGTAATTCTCGTGAACTAACTTGTTTTACTAATTCTTCTTTATGTGCAGCACTAAACAACAGCCAGAAGCAGAACTCAAAGATTCTCTGGCTGCAAGAAAAGTGCAGAAGGCAGATCGAGAAAAATTAAGGAGGGACCGCTTAAATGAGCAGTTCATGGAATTAGGAAAGACTCTTGGTAAATTAGCAAATCTTTGGTTAAACTACTAAGTTCTTGCTACATTTTGTTTTCTCTGAGCTCATCGGCTAATTTGACTGCTGCATGTTATTTTACCTCATTGAGGCATGTTATACTTTCTTGTTGCAGCTACACATTGACCTTTAATGTTCTTCTTGTTTTTGTATTTTGTAATGTTTTAGTTTTAAATATATAATTACGTTTACAATTGGATAGTGCAATTGAATTACCATAAATTACACATCTTGCAAGATCAACTCAGTATAGGCGCTTGTCTCTTTTGAGTAGGGATAGCATTTGATTTTGGGAGTCCATGGTATTTGATTCTGCGAATAGGTTAATCATATCCTGAAATTTGAAGAGGCAATGTTTTTATTAAATGTACTGTAGGCTTCATTTTGTATGCTGATAAGATAATATGGTGCTAAATTGTAATACAAGGATTAATAATACATGAATTATGAAATGAGAAACACTAGGGTTATAGTCAAGTTTTTGGTTGATTATGCAAAAATGTGGTTCCAATACTATGTTTTTGCAATTTGATTACCTTATTCTTGTCTCAAATTTAGCCTTAAATTTCTATCTTTCACGTTGTAAGGGGGTTAAAGTCATTTGAAGTCCTTATACTGCATATTTACAGCACCACCTGTTCATTGGTATTGGATAATACAGAGTATGCTGTTGTTTAGTACGCCAATTGTTAATACAGAGTGCCGAAGGGCGTATCAAACACCGGAATATCTAATACAATGCCCAACACAATCTTTAAATTGAGTACCAAATGACCACTTAAGAGTCTGATGGAAGAAAGAAAAAGAAATGACCCCTTAGGTGTCGTTTGGTTCAGTTGCGGGATATCCCATGGGATTACAATTTTGGGATATCTCATGAGATTATCTATTCCACCTCTTATACGGGATAGTGAATACCACCATTTTGGTATAAAATCTATATGAGTATTAGCTAATACCCACAACCAAATTTGGGATACTATAAGCCCCAAATTTTGTACCGGGATTAATATTCTTATCTCAGTAATCAAACGATCCCTTACAGTTAGTTTTTGTGCACAATCTATATATACATTTTTTTAGGATAAAACAGATAGGCTTTACGGAAATATAGGTTTAACCATGTCTTATTCATTCGAAGATTTGATACACAGATCCTGATAGGCCTAAAAATGACAAAGCATCCATCCTTAATGATACTGTTCAAATGCTGAAGGATTTGACTGCTCAGGTCAGCAGACTAAAATCTGAGTACGCTGCACTTACTGATGAAAGCCGTGAGGTGATCTCTTGACACTTTCTGAAAGTAATGTTCTTCTCTCTCATTTCATAGCCATAGAAGTTCTTATTTTTTCTTTTTCCTCAAGCAGTTGACCCAGGAGAAGAATGATCTTAGAGAAGAGAAGGCATCTCTTAAATCTGATATTGAGAGCCTTAATGCCCAATATCAACAAAGAGTAAGGACTATGTATCCATGGGCTGGGATGGATCATTCCATGGTCATGCATCCACCTTCATATTCGTATCCGATGCCTGTTCCAGTTCCAGCTGGACCAGTTCCAATGCATCCATCTCTGCAGCCCTATCCTTTCTTCAGCAATCAAAATCCTGCAGTTGTTCCAAACCCCTGTTCGTCTTTTGTTCAATATATGACTCCCAATACGTTAATTGAACAGCAATCGGCTCAGTATATGTCTCCAATAATCCAACCTAGTAGTATGACCAGACAAGACTCTAGAAACAAGTCATCAGATCAAGGAGAGAGCAGGATTGAGAAAAGTGAAGATTCCAATGAAGTGGCAACAGATTTAGAGCTCAAGACACCTGGATCTGCATCTGATCAGGTTAGTTAGGACTGCTGATTTACTTGGCCTACTTTCCCTTTAAGGAATCCCAATTTATTTGACCTGTTTCTTAGATGGCCAAATATTTTATTACTTGTGGTAACTGGCACCAAGTAGCTGCTGTGATATGTAAATTACAAAATGCAAGAACTCAGTTCCTTTCTTGCGCATACAATGAACTAAGGAAATCTATCAAGCTATTCAACTACTCTTATTTTACTCTTGAGTTGCCTCAATTTCATTTCTACAAAACTACTTCACTTTTATATACTTCAACTAGCCCATTAAGCATAGATTTTACTTTCTCCACTATGATGATAACTGTCATCCTTCAAGCTTTCTTTTCTTAATCTATTGCTGGTGAAATAGAATTCAATAAAATAGGAAAAAGGGAATCTTCTATGACCTAAAGGCACTTTGGCAAATTAAATATACCATCATGACACACTTGCAAATTTTGCAGGACCATTCATCTGGACAAAGGAAATCCAAAAAGATGTCAAAGAATGATAACAGCCTCACAGATGGAAGTTCGTCAAGTAGATGTTCGTCATCCCATAGCGTACAGGCCATTTCTTCAAATAGTGTAGTTAGGGGAACAAAGACAGATGATTGACATTTGGGACAGAGTAGGAACCAGGTTATTACCATTTTTATTGCTTCTTTTTTCGTCTGGTCCATCTGTGTTATCAAAAGGTTTACAATACCGAGTCAGGAAGCTGTTGCTGGTGCAATGGGTTCTGAATTTGGATATTTCTCATTGTATTTCCCTAACAGTTCTAAGGGGGTCATACCATGGAGGCTAGAGCTGTTGTTTCTGGAAAATAATATTGAATGCAAGGGAAATGTAGATATCCTGTCCATGAAAGTACTAGTGTTACATAATGCCAGAAAACTCACCATCATTCATCGCCTCGCATACCTAATCTTTACACCTCTAAGATCTTGTATCCTTTCCGAGCGTGAATGTGATTAAATTCTGAATTTTGGTGAAATAAGCAGGTTTATTTGACTGAGGTATGTCTTTGAATTAAGACCTCTCGTGAAGACTTGCCAAGTTCTCTGGAATTTTCAGTTAACCGCATACTTCAAGGTTACAATGCACGATAGAACTATAAAATATGTTTTCCGTCATGATCAGTACGACAGATTGTATGGGAAGGATTCATCATTGAGTTTATCTGAACTGCCATTGGATTGTATGGGATCTTTCACTATTGCCGGCAGCTTTTGCTGACGTGGAAAAACATATACTTCTTTTATCATTTTATGCAAGTTTTTATCCAGCGGAGTGAAAAATTGTCAAAGCATCTGGTTCTTCTGTTAGAGTCTTGGAGATGAACACACAATTAGTTTACTCGTGCTGTATCGTCAATAATGTGCCTTGTTAACACCTTTGACATTGTTCAATGGCTAATTGGATGGTAAAACTAGTGATATTTAAGCTGGTTTCAATTCTAGTTATTTTGAATTCACCTATAAATTGCTAATGAAAGTTGGCTGCGTATGAGTTGCTAAACGAACCAGAGAAAGGATAGATAAGAGGTCTTTTCTTTGCTAGGTTGCAACCATAGAGACACGAACACGTGGCAATAATTGAGTAAGTTTGGTATTATCCGAACCATGGAAAAAATATCCATGAGGAAAAAAAAGTTAATGAATTATCACGGAGAATCCGCCCGTCAATTTGTGGTTAGGCATAGATAACGACGGCTTTCTGTTTGGTGTCATTTTTAAGTTTTAACCTCCGCATTGTGACACCAGAAGCACGAGCTCATGTGTAGTTTGATCTCCTTCGGGCAAATATAAGGCTACCACCCATTGTGTGGGATTGGATTTCACATCCCAAGTGCAGAGTTTTAAAATTTTTTATTTTATTATTCAGTATTCGATAAGTAGTTCATAAGTGGAAATCATGTGAAAGGCTTCACTTTCAACTAATACTTATCGATTTGTCGATCACTAAATTCATTAGATTCTTGTGTTGAATTAGCTAATAAGTGAAATATATGTAACACTTGATTCTTAGTAAAAATAGAGTTAGTAATACGTGAACTATAGAATAACTGGCATAACATTTATGCAAGTGGTAAGACACTTCTTGTTTGACCAAAAGATGTAAAAACCTTTATGATTAAAATAACTAATGATAATAATAAGATCAATCTTAGTTAAGCACAATAAAATCTAGATCAAGTGATGGAAGGAATAAACAAGATGAATGATGTAACAAATGTGTGAGAATCAAATAAATGCTCATAAATGTGAAGACTTAAATGCACAATCAACCTTAATAAATGCAATCGGCGGCGGAGGAATAAGTATGAGATGATTGGGGAATCTTTTGATCTTCTCAGATGAACAAGGCTGCTTTTGTATTCACTCTCAGATGATTCTTTTACGAAGTGTTCTTTTGTCTTTTTTCTCTCGTCCCACTTTCTTTACTCACTGATCATTGTCGACTCAACACTACACTATGGTAGGAAAAGCGGATCGCAATAGCTTTTACCCGAATAGAGGTCCGGGATCGAATTTCCACAAGGAGCTAGTAGTGGAGTTGTATTTTCTGTCTAGCCTAGAGTTGTGGTTGTGCTTCTAATGTCACTTCAATCACCTTTTGAGTTTTTGCATTTATAACTACTATTATAAAACTACGGATTAAAGCTAGATTATGCTGGAAGAATATTGCTAAGTTGTAATTAATGGGAAGGAAGCGTACTAGGGTTGTGGCATTACCTTGGTGGCTAATTGACGGGTAGATGTTACTTAGGTTCGATTGATTTGTTTGAGGGTTATGCTATAATCGTTGCACAATTTTTACTCACTCTCACACCTCTCGGTAGAGAGAATGATTTTTACCCAATTGACTCTCTCGAGACCAATTGGGTTGGCAAATTAGACCAAGCAACTAGGGTTCAAGTAGGGTGATTACTCTCTCGAGATTTAACCCGTTAATTGGGACAATCATTTCTCATGAGTCCATCTCAATTCCTTGTTGCGTCAATTTTGAGATTATAAACTCTCTTTCTCAAGAAGAGTTAAACCCACAAAGCTTGAATCAGTGTTTCCAACCACCAATTCTAAATTAAATCATAAAATCAACCCAAATAACAAACACCCATAGTCAATCTAACCCTAGATGACAACACCCATCAATTACCCACACTAGGGTTGAGCCACAACCCTAGCTAATGGGTTTAGTTACACATAATTAAAGAAGAAACTGAAGAAATAGATGAAGAACTACACATATTAATTAATTACTAAGAAGAAACTACAATAATATATTGCTAATGGGAAGCAAATATGCCAAAAATGGCTACAACACCAAGCGTAGCTATTCTCCTGTTCTCAGATCTGACCTCCCCCCTAAAAAATAGTAAAATGTTCTATTTATACTAGACTGAAAAAACTGGATAAAATTACCCCTGTGGGGTCAGTGCGGGCCGCACAAAACGAACCGCGGTCGCACTGGCTCTTGGGTTTCAGTTGTTTGATGACTTGAACTAGGGGATGCGGACCGCGTGGGAGTGTACCGCGGCCGCGAAGGCAACTGGCGCGGTCCGTGCAGACGTGACCGCGGACCGCATGAGGACAAATGCCCCTTTGTTGAACCCTATGAATGCGGACCGCACAGAGCAGGAGTGCGGCCGCGAAGCTTCTCCGCGGGCCGCGTGAATCCTACCGCGGCCGCGTGACCTTAGGCTCGAAAATGTCCAGTCTCTGAACCTCCTAGTGCGGCCGCGGTCATTGTTACGTGGTTCGCACTAGGCCCCTTTTTCTTCACTTCTCTTGGCCTTTGATACTTGAGCAGGTTTCACCCCTTTTTGAGCCGATTTTTGACATCTCGTCACTTTGTCAATCAACCCTGCAATCAAGCACAACTTGTGAGTATTTTGGGACTGTTTTTGTATCAATTTATACTCAAAGCATAGGCAAGTAGGGGCATAAACACTTTAAAATCCTAACTTATCAACTCCCCCAAACTTAAAACTTTGCTTGTCCTCAAGCAAACAAAATAAGATCCACCCCTTAAAGGAACATCCCAGAGATTCCAGCTATCCTAAAATAACCTCAACAAGCATCAGTTGGGACTAACAATTGCCCTCAATACGAATGCATCATTAACACATTTAAAACTTTGAAAACTATAGATCAAGTGTAACACAAGAGCATCAAGAGTTGACACATTTCATCAAAGAGCTTTTCTCACTTACTTTGGTCATTGTGGAACCCAAACTCTCACATCCTCAACTCTCCCTAAGCGAACCTCTCCTTTTAAATATTGACACACAAATCGAAGCAAATGAAATTTCACTCATCTCTCTCAAAAAGGAAGGTCACAAGTCCGGCTCTAAGTACCATATGCTTGCCCCTTATGTAAGTATCCACTAATGTAAGCTCCCTTCAACTTGAGATCAAATAGGGCTTTTGTGGAGTCATTTTGAAGGCTTTTAGGCAAGGGTAGGACATATTTTTATTCACGTGGGTTCAATCTTCCCTTAAGCACTTCTTTTGATTCATTTCGGCACAACTTTCTTGGCTCTTTTTGAGGATTTCACTTCTTCACAAGGGGTTAGAGAGACACATTGTCACTCTTTCTTATACAATTCAAAACATTTCTCCTTTTTCTACTTTCTCCACACCTTTTTCACTTTTGTTTTCCTTGAATCCCTTTTTATTCTTGTTCACATGGGACTTTCTTTTTGTCCTTTTTCTTTTCTTGCTTTTTCATTGCCTTCTTTTCTTTCTTTTGTACCTTACTGCTTTGCTTCCTTTCTTGTCTCTCCCCCCAAACTTAGATTTTTGCCATTACTCAAGGGAAGATTTGGGTGCCAAGAGAGGGTAATCGTTTAGAACGGGTATAGGCTTGTAGCATTGGTTCTTGAAAGAAACAGGTTTAAGACTCAAAAGGTTAACTAGGGATTATTTCATTGGAAGGCTATGAAATTGTTCAACTTAGCATTTGGATCAAGGAGAGCTTATAATCATTTCTCAAGTCAAATTTCACCTAGGATTTCGCCTCAACAGACATTCAGGGCAAGTTCTAGACCATTGGCTCGAGACTTGGACTCAAATTTCAATTCCTCACCACACACTAGGGATTTACTAAAGACATCGAGTCGAGGGCCCACAACGACCTTAGTTATGATTTAAACACACAATGGTCCAAAAAGACCACACGATGATCGTTTGGTCAATGCAAGAGTCTCAAAGCCACGACTTTCACCATCCTAAACACAACATTATGTCTTTGACCATAGGATCAAAGACAAATGTGTTAGGCCCAAGTGAAACCTTGCTTGAGGTGCCTTTAACTATGCTTATAAAAAACAAAAGAAAAATCAAAGAAACAGACTCAAACCCTTAAGAAGGTTGTCACGCCATCTATCATTGGGAAGAGCCACCCGGTTCGCACAATACTCCACCCTTGGAAAGAACCGTGGCATTAAGAAAATCAAGGGCTTATTGGAAACTCCAAAATCAAAACAAGCGGCTATGAGCCTAACTACAAAGCTAAAAATGAAAATTTAGCGAAAATAGAAAATAGAATGAATATGTACAATAGGGGAGTAGAATATACAACGGGGGATGAATATATACAGAAATGTAAAGTTATATACAGCCCAAAGTAAAAAAGACACACAAAATCAATAAAAATAAACTAAGAATCTATATATATACAGTCATCTAGAAAAAGTGGTCATTTCCTCTCTAGTGTATGTATATCCTTCTTAGGTCATCTCTTCTCGTATCTTTAGCTCTGCTTTTGTAATTTTTCTTCTCACCTTCTTCCGTTCATTGTTCTTTGTTCTGCGTTTTATCAATATACCTTCTTCCATCGAGATGCATAGAACACATCGGTCATATGAAGAGATTTCCGATGCCACCCCGCTTTCCATGGCACCTCCCTCTAGTAGTGAAGATATGGCAGTAGAGGACGGTGACAACCTTCCCACTGTGGAGGAGATACTACAGAGAAACCCCATGTCTCAGAATGATTTTCTTAAAGAACCTATCCCTTCTCCTACTCCGGTGGTTTCTGAGACTGAGTAGGCTCACATAGATGACTTTCGATCTACGTATAACATTCCCTCCCTTGTCGAGATAATTCCTGCTGGGAGGGACTTCGTGGATGTCCACAGACCGGGATATTGTGCTTTTTACATATACCCCTTTGTGATTGTCCACTCCCTCTCTCTTCTTCCGTTAGTGGAGAAATTCTGACGGTTTTATGAGGTCTAACTGGTGCAACTTTCTCCATACACGTACAAGATATTTCTGGTATTGAATAAGTACGCGGAGTTGGCGGGGTATGAAGTTGGCCTTCATTATCTTTTACATTTGTTTTCCCCT